TGCGGCACATGAAAAAATTGACTTTTTCAGATTTTGAACATACTGCCGGATAGACCATTCAGTGCTGAGTCCAAATATAACAAGGAGGATCAAAAAGAATAGTTTTGTGGAAAGTTATTCAAATGCGGCTCTTTCGACGCAATATCGCGTTTATTGCGCCGTGAAGCACAAAAAAATTGTGAATTTTTCAATTTTCAGACATGCTATTGGATGCATCAGACAGCGCTGGTTCCAAATATTTTAACCAGAGCTCTATAGGAGTAACCTGAAGAAAGATATAGCAATGCGGCACTTCCGGCGTTTTATTGCGTTTAAAACGCAGTTTTGAAAAGCGGCACTGCCAGTGCTGTAGTTCTACATAAGCAGTCATATCTGTTAGACAGCGTTTGAAAGTCACGTCTACGCAGAACTATCGTGAATTCAGTATCTTGTACCTAAGTTGTTGCCAGAGTGCCGTTTACTTACGGCATACGATGAGCTCTTCAGATGAACTCTTTGAAGTTCGCATGCGAAAAATCTTTGCGGCGAAGAGAATAGCGCTCTTTTATCTGTGATTGCAGCAACTACGACATTCGTAATAAGTCCCGCAAGAGTCCTTTTATAGGTCCCTCCATAGAATGAAAACCACAAAAGGGTTGTCTTGCTCGAAACCTCTGTCCCGAACTTTAAAACCTGGCATATATCATGCGATATTCGTCCCGGCTCTAAGGTCGGCACAAAATTGGGTTTTGAGCAAGACTGCCTTCTTTCGCGATTCTCATTTTGTGAGCGGGCTCTTGCGGGACTTGACCACGACTGGATTATCTGAAAATGTTCGCTCGTGCCTCTATTCTAATCAAAGGCTGTGCTCTTCTCGTACGGATATCCGTGCATGCAGGACTAGATTTGGGCTGTGCAAGATTCATTATTTCTCATTTCTGTCACTGAGAAGTTTGAGTGTAGTTATGCACTTAGTAAGATCAATTCAAGGGCGTTAATGCATCATCTGCGTGCATGTAAGTCAAAACTACAAGATTGCTTACCCATATCTTTATTGTAGAAATGCTTACCAAATATTCACATTCTTATTCACATTCTATCAATTGATCTGCTGAATTTCATAAGATTAGTCTGGGACTGCACTGTTTGTAAGAAAAAGATAGGAACATATGTGCGCTCACGAATTTCAAACAAGTGGAAAATTGCAAATCTTTACTGGTCAAATAGAATAGGCATGATAAAAATCAGATGCAAATAAATATTTTATGCAGGTCAAAAAACAACAACAAAGTGAACAATGATCGAAGTCTAAGGTCGATTACCGATGAATCCTAGCATGAGGTAGTTATTTGTATTCGTATTCTATAGCCAATAACCAAGATTGTTAATACGCTTTATTCCGTCAGGCCATTCGGTGCCTTCACCTTCGTCAGAGCCTGGAAGATCGCATACATTAGTGGTCTGTTCCCTCAAACACCTCCTTCAAGCCAAGCCTACACTCAACATTGAGCTAGTCTGAAAGCAGTGACGAAAAGCATAGTCAATGCGTACCTCGGCAATCTTCGAATCAGGGTTGAGTAACCACAAAACACAGCGTCTGCAAGTTAGTAGTGGCGAAACCATTATAACTGCCTTATATAGATGATTCTAATCTCGGTGTAGATCATATCCGCAGAGGGACTGATACGAGATTGGATCACTATTCATGGCAACATGGAAAGAGGGCGTTGTTATGAATAGTGATCTGATCTCGTATCAGCCCCTCTGCGGATTTGTTCTACACCGAGATTAGAATCATCTATATAAGGCAATACTTATACTGGTTTCGCCACTACTAACTGTGCAAACGCTGTGTTTAATGTTTGCTCAACCCTGATTCGAAGATTGCCGAGGTACGCATTGACGATGCTTTCCGTCACTGCTTTCAAACTAGCTTAATGTTGAGTGTAGCCTTGGCCTGAAGGAGGTGTTTGAGGGAACAGACCACTAATGTATGCGATCTTCCAGGCTCTGACGAAGGTGAAGGCACCGAATGGCCTGACGGAATAAAGCGTATTAACAATCTTGGTTATTGGCTATAGAATACGAATACAAAGTGAACAGTCTTTGCAAGCTCAGGGCTTGGCATACTCGGTTATGAAAAAACAGCTTAATGAATGTCGTCTTTTTTTGATTAGAGATTTCGGACTGATTCCGAAGCTGTCGCCACAGCCAAACAAAATGGGTTCGTACTAAAAAAAACGAGTTTTCAATCTTAATAGATATATCAAAAAATATCATTAGAATAACTGAAATAATGAAACAGTCGATAAGTTTTTAGATATAGTCGACCTCTCTAATTTGATCAAGTAGAAAAATAATTGCTAACTTTTTCATCAATTCGTTTTAGCGCATCTTGCTACTTTAATTCCGAGCCTCAGCGGAGCTACAAAGTTAGATAAACTTTTTCCGAGCATCTAGATTTGGCTTGCAGCTGCAGGGTCTTTGGGGAGAGACACGGAAAACAACCTCTAGAATACTTTTTTTTCTTGTTACTGCACATTATACGAACCTTCGTTTTCAGTGAAAAAAGTTTCGAAGAGCGCAATTTCTATCAGTGTACGAACAGCATTTTTTCAGTGAAAACTGAGAGGAATCGAGGAAGCGACAAACGATTAACAATAGGAGTGCTGAAATTCGAAATATTGAGTGCTATATCTTCTGTCTTAGAGCACTGTCATCGGCAAGTCAATGTGAAGTTTCTAATTGTCTCTATCTGTTCCAGCATATTTGTTGGTTTCATATGTCCTCTGAGCCGGTGCTGCTCAAAATCCGTAGTTGCTCAAAATAATCATCTGCATTTTAGCGACCTTGAAGCGACTGCGCGGGTCACATATTCGGGCTTATGTTACATGTGTCGCGTACTCCGCGTTCGCCGCGGAGTCTAACCCAACCCAGATGATTTCATTATATTACGGCCAAATAGTTTTATGGGACTGAAATGTCAAAGCTGAGCATTTAATCACTTTCGGTGCTGTTGAGACAGCATCTCCTTCCAAGCATCGCTATTTTAGTACACCCTCAAATGTTCTGGATAGCATATTATTAAAGTACTCAGTTTGCTGTTCAAACTCCAAAGTATACGGTCGTATTTCTAGCCTTTGAACATTCTGAACCCCCCCCCCCCCTTCCCCTTTTTAAATCTACTACAGACTTTGTAAAGCAACTTGTGAAGGATTTTGCAGATGCATCGCTACAAGACTTTCACAAACTTAGCAATTGAAGTTCAATCACAGCTGATCTTCAATTTCATTTATTCGCTCTACCCCAAAAGTATAATTACCTTCCCACGACAATATCTTCTCCTTATAACATTTTCCCTATTGACAAAGCTTGGGAGCAATTCCAGAGTGGGTGCAAATTTTTGGCCAGCACTACAGTACGGCCCAAAGTTTGCAGCCATACTGGAATTTTGCTATATCTTACTCGGCACAGAGCGAATCCAGATTATGATATTACGTGCACACTTTTTGACACGATGTCAATCAATTTTGCAGTTTCATGCAAATAGTATGGGGCTCTGGGGAAAATGGCACAGACGAGCAGAATCGAGGTTGGTAAAACGTGCAGCCACTTTTTTGCTAAAAAATCTTTGAAAAACTTGTCACCCTCCCGTATCTCGGTTACAGATGCACCCCAAGCCTTGAGATATACAAAAAAAGCATTACTTGACATGTTTCAACATCTACCATAATCTTAACTCACAAGAGAAGTGTGTTCAGTCAAAGTAACCTTTCTAGATGAGACTCATACTGCTTTAAAGAGCATTAAGCGGTGATTCCGAATCTATCTTCCAAACCTGCCAAGCGCCTATGGAGACCGAGTTATGGGCGTTTTTCAGGTCAAAAAAAACTGAACGCAAAACTGGGACAAAATCGCCCAAATTTGCTCAAATTGTCCATTGTCGTACCAAAGCCGTTAATGCAATGGACACATTTTGTCTAATTATGCTAATACATAACAATGCTTTATCTGAGCGCTGGAAAGATTGTAACAGCCAATTTATATAAATTCTGCATTCATTTTTCGTTCCAAAATATGGTCATAACTCTGCGCCCAGAAGCGCTTGGCAGATTTGGAAGGCAGACTTGGAAACATCGTGTGATACTTTTCAAAGCAGTTTGAGTGTCATCTAAAAAGGCCACTTCGACTAGACACGCTTTTCTTGTCAGGTTCGGTGCAACTTTCAACTCAACTGGGCTCAGCGGTCTGGTTGTCAAACTTGATGAAAATACTGCTTTCACAAGAACGAGACTAGTCTGGAGTTACCTTTTCAAAGGATATGGAGCCTTACTGCCAGAGAAAAGTTTTTGCGATTATCATATCTTGGAAATGTTCAATTTGTCAAGGGGAATTACAAGTTCTGAAAATTACGCAAACTTTTCCGTAAGAGTCCCGCTTCCCTGTTTTCAATAAAACTCTGCGACTTCGAGCCAGTGCCTCGTTTGCAAAAAACAGGGTTTTCATCCAGTTTGAGAACTCTTTAGACCGCTGAGCCCCAGTTTTGAGTAGAAATGTGCTCCGGGTCTGAGTTAATGTGATATGTTGAAGCATGTCAAGCAGTTCTTATTCTGTCACATTTGCAAGCCGAGGGAGTGGGCGGAGGAGGGGGGGGGGAGGCACTCAATTGAAAAACCCATTAATTTTCTAAAGATTCTTGAGATTTAGTTGAGACTCTTAAAAACCTTTTCGGGGCCACGAGCCCGAAAAAAATTGGAAAGCATTCCAAAAAATTTTCCCGGAGTACAAGGCTATCGCCATTTTTCCTCCTCCCCCCCCCCCCCCCCCCGCTCTACTCCCCCGAACGAAAATCTGCGACCGCTACTGGGACGTAAACACAAAACAAACATTGAGCTTCATGCACAAGACTCTTTGAAATATCTGTCAGTTCGAAAAGCAATAAGCTCTTCAGCTTTTATGTCTCGCAGTCTAAATTTGTGAAACCGTTACTAACTCGAAAGGTAAATTCGACCAATAAACTATCAACGTTGGCAACTTACCTTATGCAATTTTTTGGCAAATTGCCTCACCGTTTTGATCAGTACCTTCTCACTGAAAGGCCACTCCGTGTATAAAAGTAAACCATCAAGTATCTAAACAGTATCACATTGGTCATATTACAATAGCTGCTTTTCTCACCAAATTGCCACGCTGATACTTGTAAGGATTGGTACTGAGTACATTTGCGACATCCTTTCTAGCAAGTTTTTCGACATAGCAGTTGTAACGCTGAAAACATTACTTATTTCGAAGTAAAGATAAGGGGTTACTTACTATCGGAACTACGTTGCTTATCTCATTTTCCAATCGAGCTCTTATACCTTTTTTGTCACGCTTTAGAGCATTGCAATCTCCTTTGAAATACTCGGGTTTTTGTGACATTGCCTTTCCAAAAACTACAAGCTAAACAATATTTGCTAGATCACACACTTTGCATGGATAGCTTTCACAAACTTACGATAAGAGCAAAGTAGAAAATTTGAGCCATGACATCTAGAGACTTTAGAATGCAACGTATCAAGCTTCTTTATCGTGAGCACACAAATCTCCAAACTAAAAAATTTGTTTCAAGTGTTGAACTTTAAAAGAACATGTTGTAATTACAATAGCTGAGGAGAAAGAGAACCTTACTAAAAAGAACATGGAAACGTTGAGAAAGTTGGAATCCAAACGATTTTCGAAAAAACAAAGACGAAAAGGCACAAGAAAGTATAAACACGGCACTGAGAAGAAAAACACAAAGAGAGTAAGAAAATTTTAAATTAGCATGAAATATAAATGGTAAGTCAAATTACTCTGTTCAGAAAGAATGTAAATAGGACTGGTACACTGTGAATCAGAGTGTTTTGTTTTCAGGCACAGGCAACGGTAAAGAGAGCGATGGTCAAATTTCCTAAAAAATGGTTTGAAAGCAATTACTGCAACATTCAGGTGGAATTGAAGGTCGCATCTTGACGGAAAAATCTCCAATGAAAAGCGAAATCTGAACGGTCATCAGTTTTAATAACTTCCAACGACCAATAAAACAATAGTGCTTTAATGCTTACGAATTAGTTCAAACACTGGTATTGTGAGAAAAGGACTTTAAGCATGTAATTAGAATTTCGTAATTAGAGATTTTTGTGCAGAGCCACGGGAAAGGGAAGCATTATGGCAGGATGTTGTGAATCTGGTGAAAAAGAATGTATTAGTAGTAGTATGTAGTCAGGCAACAAATGTGGGAGAACATAGAGGCCTACTCTGGCAAATAAAGGTCAAGAAAGATTGGGACTGGACAGCCATAAAAGCTAGTTATCGCTCAGCTCACGTATGTTCTGTAGAAATATGCGAGTTGTGCCTTCCCGTCCACATATCAAAGATACTAAAAATTATTAACACAACCTCTAAACCAAACATGAATAGCCTTCATACTTCATCTCCGCAAGCTCACTAGTATTGCAAATGCCCCTCAACCTCACAGCAAACTTTTGGCAGGTTTTTTCGTTGTTTGTTGCATAAATAAAGCTGAATGTCCGATTATCTGTACGTCTGTCTGCCTGTGTGTACGTATGCCCTAAATAAAAATCCCAATTTCTAAACTTATCCAGACCAAACTTTGCAAAAAACACATACACTTCGAGCGGGGCGGGTGTCATAAGCAATTTTCAGTGCCGATTAATATCAAGTTTATCGTTTTTGCAAAGTTTGAGCAACAAGGCTGAGAGTTGGCACAAGATGGTAAGTGAGCATGTTGTTTACGAAAATATTATTGACAGGGCCGGGTGGAGCGGGTTTTGCCAGCTAGGTGAGAATAAATGCATAGTGCAGTTATGTAACCCATTTAACACACTTCTTTTGACTACTTAATCTGAGTGCATTTACGGCAATCACATTTAGGGTTTTTTTCTGTCCACTTCTTGATCAGCCTTTGATATCATTCGTAAGCTTGTACAGAGAAAGGGTGTTGGCGGTTTTCACTATCTTCACAAATTTTTAAAACGCTCTACAATCATTCTTAACTCAAATTTAGCAAATTAAGGGTTTATAGCAAACGTTCGCTTATCCGTTTAAGCCCGTTGAGATAGAAATAGATACAAAACGGATCATGTGGTAGTGATCATAACAATAACAACCGAGTGCGAATGTACTCAAAGACTGGGAATGTCAACTTCGGTGCTTTGAAAGACATTTTCACAATGGTTCGCTTCTGCTTCTTTTATTCGAAAACTTGTTAAAAACATGCTATTTTCGGATGCACACACAGAGCCGAAATATATGCGCACAATTTTTAACGCTTGCAACATGCGCATTTTTGCAAATAATAATTTTTTTTGCGTGACAATACATCCTTGCGGAATGTTACGAAGTCCGAGTGACTATTTTGAGCATGACTTCTGAGCAGCAAATTCAAGCATTCGACTACTACCCAAAGTAAAGATATAGATGACTGAAGATAAGATGTTTAAGAGCTTGCAATAATGAACCTGTTTTCTTTGATTGCATAACATTTGTGGGAAACAAATTGTAGTCCTTTTGCAGCTTGAAAAATCGATTGCTTTCCAACTTCAAACTGAGGGACGGTAAATACTTTCATGCTAAGGCGGAAAAATGATTAATCGCTATGAAGGATATAAAACGCAGATTCTAAATATGCTTCCATTATCTGCTGCGGGCATCTGAGTGAGGAGTTATGAAAGTTTTAGGAAGCAAAAAATAGAATGCGCAACTCGCAGCTAGAATAAAATCAGTCGTTAGGTATTTTTTAGAGCTTGAACGGGGAATTGATATTTGCCACCTTTCGAATCTCATTTCGAATATGTCGAATATTTATATTATATTATATTTATTGCACAAGAAGTGCACCATTACAAATCATAGGTCACATTTATTACTCATTTAAAGAACAAAAAAGAAATAGTAAACACAAGAGAGAAACCTGAAATCATCATTATTGAAAGAAGGAAGAATGATTTCAGATAACAGTCGCACTCAGTCTTGAAAGTCATTCAGTCAAGTCTGACACTACCACACCAATATGACATGACATCGGAATTATAGCATGTAAAATTAACTACTTTGACTAATGTTTTTTTTCTGTACCATGTACAAATCAAGCATAATCACTTTCGCTTTATCCTTTTTGTTAACCAGATTTTGATAAGCAAGGGTGAGGCAAGGCGAATGGGCTAAACCATGCGTGCTTCGATAAAAACTCATTGAGCTCACCCTGGGTACCTTGTTTTATAAGGCATTGCATCTAGAACGTTTAATTTATATGCATTGCTCCTTATGATCCTCAACCAAAATTTGGAAGGGGGGGGGGTGAGACAAGGCGAATAGGTTAAACCACGCGTACCTTGGTTAATCACTGAGCTCACCCCAGTTTACATCAACATACGAACGATTCAATAATCGTCAAAATTCTGCCATAATCAATGTTAGCAAGAAAAATTAGGTAGAATCACTCTGTTTGGAAATTGACTGAATACAAGTGATATGTTTTCTATAGTGTCTCAGTCTTTCAGCAGTGAAATAAATTACGATGGTTCTTCGGACATTCTGGATTAGGCGTCTGTAGAATTACACAAAGGCCAATGTTTTGAGGATTGTGTGCATTCGAACGTTTTGAAGGAAAGGACCAATATTGTGTGAAATAGCAAACTTGTTGATCCTAAAAATCATGATTATTGAGGTTTTTGCGGAAAATCCTGGAATTTTAAAATAATTTGGAATATGAACACTGCTACCTTATTTGAGCGCTAAAAAAAGTTAACGACTGATTTTACATTGTCCATACAATAAAAGATCTGTTTCTAAATGCCTTTATAATTGATTGCTTAGAAACCCGCAGAAAATAAGGAAAGGAGATCTGAAATTCTATGTTTGAACTCTTCAAGGCAGTGAACATCTGACCTTAAAAGTGACTAACCAAAGTGTTGGAAAGACCCTGATTACTAATTTGATTACCACTCAAAGGGCTGTTGTCCTGACTCAAAGCAATTTAGAAGAAGAGACAACGCTTCAACTGAAGTTGGTTAACAAAAACGTAAAGATGCTTTCTTTGTCTATTTACCACCTTTGTCTAGTTAGAGCAAACCACCCTATTTGATCATTGCTCCCGATCTTGCTTAAAAAAAATTCGTGTTAACAATGTATAGGAAAACAAGCAATTTGAAACCGAATCGACGCCACGAATCTCATAGCGTGCACTGCATTGTTGAAGCCTTATATACAGACTTTTCGTCTATCATCCAAAGCTTATCAGATTGTCACGCTGCATCGCACTTTGGGGCGAACATTTTAGGATTCACCAGTGCTCTTCTGGTCTGCTCAGCCACCATTTACACTACAAATGCTGCTCTAGTCCGATAAATGTCTGCTGTGGCTTTTCACGGTAGGCGATGTGTGCTGCAAAATTGGACGCAATTTCAAACTCAATTTTATTCTGTTCAAGTGCGCAAAATCGAAACTCATGCTGCTAAAACATGGGTCAAAAAGCGCGCTGACCGTCAAGAGAGCAAGGTACAGTTGTAAACGCCGAAATTGCGGAATTTGCGGAATTTGCGACATTTAGTCATAGCTTCTTCTAATACAACTTTATCTGGAGTCTACCAAAAGATATGCTTCAGCTTGATGAGACGAATCTTCTAGAATACATTATGCCCGTTTCCACGGTGCATTGTATGTATTGGCATATGTATGAGATTAGCAGCATGTATAGTGCTCATATAAACAGTTTTTGAAAATAACAAAGTAGTATCATATGCCTACCGTGTCACCATGGACTTCGGGCATAATGTGTATTGAAGGATTCGTCTCATCAAGCTAAAGTCAAATCTTCTTGCTACCTCCAAAGAAAATTGTTTCAGAAGAAGTTATCATTAAACACTGCAAGTTCCGCAAATCCCGCAATTTCCGCAATTTTGGCCGGATTCCCGCTACAATTGTATGAGTGGCATATTTTTTAGCTTGACCTCTTGACTCTATCCTTTTTATTAGCGAAACTAGTGGTTTAAGCAAATACAGGCTTTCCAAGAATTCACTGTTTTGTGCTTTATGCTTGCACAGTGTCATTTGCAAACATAGGTAACAAGGAAAGCTATCTAACTTACTCGGTCTTTTGACAAGAGGCATACATATATAGGGTGTCCCAGAAAATTTGCCTAATGTTTGATTATAAGTAACTATCTTGTATGAAGTGTTTCGAGAAGTTTTAGGTACCGTTTTGTTAGCGAAAATGAACTTAGATTTACAGTATAGAGCGAATCATTTATCGCTCTTCATTATTGTAGGATTACGGTAGGAACTTTCAGCGTATGGGGCCATTGTGAGATATACCAACTAACAAAATTTTCTCAAAAAATCTGAAAAATCGCGTACTAGGGTTTTCGCGCATGTTGATTCCACCTAGCAACTTTTTACGAGTGTTTTCAGCCTTTTTGAAGGTGTAATTACATTTTTGACAAGTGCTGGGAATTGAGTTATTACGATTTACGGGGATAACTTAGGAAAGAAACGTCAGAGTAAAACAAGATAAAAAAATTCGAAATTAGCGGGTTTCGTTACAGTAATATAATAGTTTTTGGCCTGTTTGATTTTTTTCCGAAGCAGAAGATCCTTCAAAGTCCAAAAATCCTTGTCGAAGTTCGTACCGTAATCCTACAGTAATGAAGAGCAATCGGCAATTCGCTCCAAATTGTAATCTAAGTTCAGCCTCGCTCTGCAAACGGTTTCTAATTCTCGAAACACTTCTTTATAAGAGAGTTATTTACAATCAAATAGTAGGCAAATTTTTTTTGGGATACCCTGCATAGCATGAATCAGCTTCAAACGCTGACTCCAAACATGCTGTTTTTAGCTGCCACGCACCATTTCAAAACGAGTTATAGGCTTTTTCCTGCGCAACATTCATGCTCATCGACTACAGGCATCAGGTCATCATTTAGGTGATGATACGTCTGCGTTAAGCTTTTTTAGTGAGAAAAGATTGGATTTGTGTTTTCGATACCTCAGCACCTTTTTCTTGCAGATTTTTATCTACAGGTAGTCTTATCATGTACAGTAGTATGTTTTGCGTAAAATAACTGTAGCTCGCTTAATACCACGTGGCAGCTAGGAATAGCATATTTGGAATTAGCGTTTGAAGCTGATTCAGAATATATCTATGCCTTTTACCAAAAGGCAGAGCCAAGCTAGGTAGCTTTCCTTATAAGTTACACACAGGATGCCATCGAAGTGCTTAACGTTTTGACTAAACATGGCCAACCTATTTGCATGCATGCGATGTTTTTTATAGCGTGTATGCGAAATTTCTTGCTCAAGGTTTGAATCATAAGTAAAATTGAAGATCGAAATAGATTTCCACTTGTTAGATTGATAAGGACCACCGCGCGTCACTTTACCTCGCGAGCCTAATGGCTACAATATCTACGTCCATCGCCCTCGCCTAAAGGGCAGGGCATACTTCACGCGATTTCAGTTGCAACGCGATTTGGCAAATCGCCAAAAGTCTTCAGAACCAATACTAGCAAACTGCACATGCATAGTGTGTATGTATTACGCGAATTAATGAAATGCCTTGTATTCTGTACCAGGGCCCGGCACGAGCTTGTCAAAAGGGGTTTTCGAAAAGGAATTCCCTCTTGACCCAAAATTTGTTTACGATTTCCCCTTTGACCCCAAAATTGGTCCCAGTTGTTCTGCAGTGAACACTTTACCCAAAAAACATTTATTGAGGAAAAAATCAACAAAAAAAAATCAAAATCAACAAATCAAATCGAAAAAAGAGATCAGATGAGAGATCTCAAGTGAGTAATCAATGTGAAATGGACCGGTAGTAGGGGAAGACGGGGAGGGAGGGGGAAGCGCGGGGGGGGGGGGGGAGAATTCGTATGCTCACATTCTGAAACCTCTCATCGCAGCACAAGGCATCAAGTGTTGTATAACAACCATATACGCTAATATGATCTACACGCCACGCAATTATAAATAGCATGTAACATTAGTTTTGGACTAATTGATAAACATACTTGCACCGATGACTTGCACTGATGAGCTGATGAGGATTGGTGGATCGACAATTTCATCTGGTGAACGACCAACATAGCAGGCTCCATTGGGGGGCGGCTCTAGGTGAGCTGTCGCTATACTACTGAAACGAAATGACTTAGAAACAGACTAATATACTCGAGTTACCCTCGATATCATCCCATATGTCTTCCCTCAACATGACGTGGATTACGAGGATTGATGAGGCGCCGCCTCGCCTCGGCCTTGCGCCACGTTGCGTGCGCATCTTCGGCGTGATGTGGCAACAAGAAGAACGTGGAACAGCCTGCGCCACGTTGTGTTGAGTGCCACGTCGCGCCAAACGATGCGCTCGCAACGTGGCGCGAGTCCGAGGCGAGGCGGCGCCTCATGAAGCCACGTAATCCACATCATGTTGAGGGAAGACATATGGGATGATATCGAGGGTATATATTTTCTTAAAAAAACTACTTCAAAAGCTGCTCACGTAAAAAACGAAGTATCAACATAAAAGCTAGCAAATTTACTTTTTTCGTGCTTCTCCAGGTGATTTAGGTTTGAATCTCTTGCATGGCTGTACGGTCTGAAATCGGCGAAAAATTGAAAAAAAAAACAGCTGAAACAGTGAAATTTTTTCCTACGGTAATTCTTTACGCTACTATGAGCACGCAATAAAGAGCTAGCCCACAGAGCCCGCAGAGCTACTCTACCTAATCGACATTGAGGCGGTGCTACAAAGTTCAAATAGAGTCTGCCCCAATCGGGATAATGCCGAACAGCCGACTGAATTTGCGCGCGCGCACCGCTGGGGGTCTGCGTTGCATATGCGCGCTGTCGCAGAGAGCGACATTTAGGGGAGAGCAGACTGGTTAGCCGTGGACGTGACGCAATACTCTCGCGACACGGGTTCCCGCCATGCCAATTTCGGCTTGGTTAGGATAGGAGCAGACTGTAGTCTTACCTGTATAGGTTCAACTGCGGTACCAGCTATCACCGCTCGTATCGATGTTGGCCTAAGCAATTCGTCATGTTCTATAGCAAACGATGAATCACGCCATCTGTAATCAATAAATCCATATCAAACTTACCCTGAAAACTCGTCCATATTGATCGTATTCTCGAAGAACATGATGTTGTTCGTCCGTGGTCACCCACTCCAACAATTTTCCATCACTGTCCTCAGCCGCTAAGGCTTTTTTGGTAAATGGTATCCTGAATTCGATATTTTAAAAAGACTTCGACGATCAATATATCGAGTTTTATAGAAAAGCCGAAGCTCGCCTTCTTTTGATCACTAATCCACTTCCAGAAGGGGTTGCAGAAAAATGGTGAGTTTCTGCTGCTGGTGTCGTTATTTCACGGAGACGTCCACGAGAATCATACTGGAATTGCAGGTAGTAAAACAGACTGATAATTGCAGTGCGAAATTTATTGATTCCCCCATAAAAACCTCCTTGGAAGCTGCGATCACAGCCGTTGGAGAAATCAATAAAATCAATAATCGAAAAGTTCGTTGCAAAAAACTCAAAAAAAACTTCCTAATGTCAGTGATTTTCATGAATAAATTTGAAAATGTCGGAATAAATTGCTGGAATGCATTTTCAAGAAACTAGCCTTCAACGAGTATTTCAACCCTCCTGGCAACCAGTACTTGGATGGCGTAACTCCTTGGTATACATAAATTTCGCAGTGACTCCGCCCTTCACTGTACGTTCAACAATACGATTTTGCCGATCGTAGGTAACTTGAGTAGTACGATTACCCCAAATCAGCTCATTTCTGCAATTACGTACATTGCAAAACAAGCTATAATTCCAAGAATTTCTTTATTCACCTTTTACCCAACGAATCATAGTGGATGCTCAGATTTGCTAGACGATATGCCGGTTCCAAATCCATCACTCCTTCTTGAGCTATGCTCTCCAATTCTCCGCTATCAGTATAGCTCAAACGCAATGTCTCATCTTCGGATTTAGCACTGATGACGTCACTTCGTGTCACTCGATCGAAAGTGACAGTAAGAGCGCTTACACCATTCATCTAATACAAGAAAATCAATTATCTGTTGTTGAATGGAAAGGAAAAATTTCATACAAAACAAATCACAGGTTAGTCGAGCAAGACATATGGACCTGGCTGATTAGCAATGCTAGGACTCAAGAAATATTGTTAGGCATTCAATAAAAACCCCAATTATTTGATGTGATAAAATTCTTCAAGTAATTCGCTTGATGGATTTGCACATGCAAATAATAGAAAAAACAATTTCTTTTCGAATACTCGCGGATGCCTAAGACAGCGAAGAAAAGGAAGAGGTTCTTAAAAAAATTTCCATGCAATTAGTCCACTCTAACAGGACCATAAGCCAAAAAGTCAATGCACAGCATCCTCAGTCCGCTCGACTAACCCTGGGTCGAGCGCCAATCTCAGCGAATCTCTCTCAGCACCACCACGCTTCAAAAACGGTCGCCAGTCAAATCGCGACGTCAATGCACGACGAGTGGGATTCTGAAAATTTGAACTGTACAGTTACTTCCTCTACAAGATAAAAAATCAAAAATAAAAAATCACCTGGATCGCATCGATAGTGGCTTTCATCTTGAGAATGCTCGTTTCTCCATGAGCCGGATGGGTATGGCTATCGAGGAGTGATGTCATACCAGCATGGGTTACCGAGAATCCATCATCCATGTAGATGATACGAGAAGGCGTGTTACCTGTAATATTAGCACTTGAAAAAAGATTGTGAGGGCGGAATCATGATCGAAAACTGGTCCCCAGCTCCGGATACAAAATTAGCAATGCAAACATAGTAATACAGACGAAAACTGTGCTCAAGACAATTTTGGAGCAAGGATTTTTGAGATTAGAAAACAACCATCATAAAGGTGGAGAGCAAAAAGCAAAAATGGTCCCCAACACTTTCACCGAGGCAAAAAAGCACTGTAAGGGCGGAGCAGCAGTCGTACATAATAAATTTCCGCAGAGCCCACCACAATTAGACTCACACTTGAGCGTGAAAATCTTCAAAGTGAGAATTGAGGAACCACATGACTCTAGGAAAACAGCTAATGGTCAACAAGTTTGTACTCGATTATTAGGCAAACGCAAAGACGACGCAAAGATATGGAATGATCAGCAAAAGCTTTGATTGGTCTTGAACGAGGCATGATGAATAATAGCTAAGATAAAGTGAAGTCACTCACTCATGAACCTGATATTTTGCCCAATGCGAGCGTTTGCCAATCGGATTTGCGGCATCAGTGGTCTGAAATTGGAAATTTGGAAAAGATCCTCAGGAAGTGAAAAGGAAAGAAAGGTAAAAGGCGGAACGTAGAAAGCACTAATATGTAAATGACGAAATGTAGACGCTGATGCGAAAAGGACTCAGCGATACGCAGTTCGATTGGAGCACGCTTTCCTCCTTAGGAAACGGGGCTGTAGAGGCTATTTTTGCCTCTAGCAATGGGGCGAGGAGGAGGTTTGGGACCAAATTTTCAATACTAAAGTTTAGGCGTAGAATAGATTTATGTAAAAATTTTGGAAAAATTATGTGAATTGAAAGTTTTGCCAAGCTCAGCTTGTCATTAGCTTGTCAAATGACAAGCTAATTTGGAAATAAGTTGGGGAAACTCTTCATTCACATAAGTTTTTCATAAATTTTCATACATTGTTACTTAGTCCTACTGCGCATATACACACCAAATCCCGCGCGATTTCGTCACCTCTGCGTTGCAAACGAGCCATTTTTCCATTTCCTTCGTAGCGGGAAATTTTCGGAAAAATGTTTGCCACAACCTTCAGTCACATAATTTTTCAATGAAACTACTAAGTTAGCTCCTACAGGCTTGTGTCCACGTGCGTACCAAGTTTCATACCATATCGTCGTCTGCGCGTTGCAAACGAGCCATTTGAATTTACAACTTCATTTACCAATTCTGCAAAATCTTTGGAAAAAATGCTTATTACTCGTCCCGTTCACATAAGTTTTTCATAATTTTTCATACTTTGTTTCCACTAGCCTCTCTCCGTTCGCCTACAAAATCTGGTGTCATACCGTGACGCGTACATTGAAAACTAGTCATGTATGCCGTTACAAATAGCTCGTTTGAGCGACGTCGCGCGTGCGGCAATTAGCGACGGCGCGGTTTGACGCGCGCGAACTCCAGTCTTCGCATTTTGAGGCACATAACATGTTAAAATAAGCAGAGAACGTGCACTACCAATTTTTTTTCCGGGGCTCCGCCCCGGACCCCGCAAAAACGATTTCCCCTTTGCTTTTTTTGCCGAAAACGATTTCCAACTTGTCATTTGACAAGCTCGTGCCGGGCCCTGTTCTGTACGTTTAAAATGTGCTTATAATAGTTTACAAACAGTTGGAATAGGTGTTCATACGCACCGGATAATGCTGGCTTTCACAAATAAAAAAATGCACAGATACATTCACTTCTTCAAAACTTTTTTCTAAGTAAGATCGGTAGTTTTGGAAGCAAGAAATATTTGTAGAAAAAAAATAAATGCGAAACTAATGCTGCTTGACCATTATGGTTTGAGGCATGGCAGGCAAAGCATTCAGTCTGTTTTAATAAAAAAGTTACTTAATGCATGCCAACCTATGCAGTGACTTGCGAAGAGAGAGAATAGGGAGGGGGGACGGATGTTTAACCGGTCAGTGCTTTTACTTTTTTTCCTACTAAATACTTTAAACGTTCACCATCTCTGCAAATGTTAGAGGACCTGATTGTCCCAAGGGCAAGATCAAACCTTACTCCTTGGTCCTTAAAGGCACCGTCCACTCAAAATGGAGGTTGGCGAGATTATGATGGCATACTAATGTAAGCCCCCATACTAGACAAACCCCCAAGTTTCGCCGCAAAAGACTGCTTCTGAAGCGAGAAATCCGCTCCGAAAGTAACAGTGGGCGGGGCGCCCCGGTTCCCCCGCCTACTTGCATGCTTTATCTCACCTGCACTTGTTGCAGAGGGTTCTCGAAACAGGGACTTTTGGGGGTTTCGCGAATTTTCGACTCCATATTCGGAATCAGGGCTTTCAGAAGGCCTGAAAGCGACAAAAACATTGAATTCGAGTTGGATGGACCGCCGGAGGCGCCCCGCCCACTTTGTTACTTCCGGAGCGGATTTCTCGCTTCAGAAGCAGTCTTTTGCGGCGAAGCTTGAAGGTTTGTCTAGTATGAGGGCCCACACTAGTATGCCATCATAATCTCGCCAACCTCCATTTTGGGTGGACGGTGCCTTTAAGCTTGGTTTCACACCAAGATCACTCGTCCCCGTTCCCGGAGCAGTTTCTTTAAGGCGTCTACAAAGCTCACGACGAACACATGAGATTGTCCATGTTTCAACAAGTATGAAAAAGGAGGTTTCAATAATTGTGCGACACGATACCAATCGAACCCCCACAATGGTCGGCCGCCTCATCGTGGCGTGGGGGTGACACCGGGTGTCGAACTGCGATGCACAGCCGAGTGTATACTCTGGCAGGGCCTCCCAAGCTGTGAAGGAGTTCGACGTTTCCGGTTTCGGCCAGATGCCTAGCTAAGTGCCGGCCAGGCCAGATCCACCGCCGTCTGGTTTTCAGGTCGCTAGGCGGTTCTCCCCGCTCCAAGCCCGGGGTCAGCGATCGCCCCGTGGAAATCAAGAGTTGGCCTAATAAGTCTGCTCTTGTAGGGGAAAAATTTCATTACTCTACCAGTTAAAAGGAAGAAACCCTGCACATCGGATCCCGCCTACGGCGCCGGGTGGTAGCAAGACTGATGTCAGGGTCCTCAGGGCGCCTTTTGGATTGGACAAAAACGACACGTCTGTCCGGACGACACGCCACGGAGACTGCCTCATGCTCTGCACCTACAACGCCAGGGCAGTCTCCACAAACGCCGACCTCCACGCTCTTCTCGACGCTGCAGAGCACATCAAGTACCACATCATCGCTCTGCAGGAAACGAAGTCCAGGAAGAAGGACATGCGACAGATGAATGATGGGACGCTCATCATTCGTGGTGAGAAGGTTCCATCACGAAACGTGGGAGGCGTTGGCTTTGTCGTCCACCCATCTATCGTCCATCTTGTCGATTCGCACGAGATCCTATCACCCCGACTAGCCATCCTACGAACGCCCTCCACGTCAGAAGACCATCAGCATCATCAACTGCTACTCGCCAACATCAGCAGCTGACGACTCAGAACTAGATGCTTTCTACGAAGACGTGGAGGAGGTCGTCCGCAACGAAAAGTCCTTCTACAAGTATGTTGTGGGCGACTTCAATGCGAAAATCGGGATGCCACTAGAAAAGGAATATAGGATCGGGAAGTTTGGATATGGGCTCCGAAACGAAAACGGCAACCGTCTCGTTGGGCTCCTCTCCGCCGCACGACTCTTCCATGGGAACTCCATCTTCATGAAGAAAGAACATCGCCGGTGGACATGGGAATCGCCCAACGGAACGACTCACGCGGAGATCGACCACATTCTCACCAACCGAAGGTGGAGCTTGCTCGATGTCTCAGTAGTTCCATCCTTCTGCAGTGGCTCCGATCACCGCCTCCTTCGAGCGAAGATACGACTCAGCCGAAGGCTGGAAAAGAAAGTCTGTCACAGTGCCGCGAGAAGGAAGGAAGTCGTTTATGACGGTAACAGGCTGGAGGAGCTCATATCAAGATGTGACTGGCCCATCAAGGAGGACCCAACGTACGACTACGACCGGCTTCTGAAAGGATTGCGAGCCTGCGGAGAATGTGCCTCAGTGACTTCTGAGAAGAACTTGGAACGTATTTCGAAGACCACCAAGGAATTGCTCGAAAGAAGAAGATTTCTGAGGCAGGATCCGAATGCAACCCATCTCGAGCGATTGATAGCCAACGCCAGTTGCAGAACAGCTATGCAGGAGGATCTCAGGAAGTACAGGCAAGCCAAGATACTGGAAGCAGCCGAAGGAAGACGAAGTCTCAAGAAATGCCGAAGGGACCTCTGTGAATATCACGTACCGCTGGCTGCACTATTGAACGAAGACGGGACTCCGACTTCTTCCCGATACAAGATGGAATCAATCGCGAAGAACTTCTATACCAACCTCTTCCGCTCATCAACACCCGTGCCGACGCCCGTGTTCCCAGTGGAGAAGTACCACCACGAATTCTACCTGCTGTAGTGCGCACGGCGATTCAGACCATGAAGACATCCACGGCTCCAGGACCAGACCATCTTTCCGTTGAATTTCTGCGAGCCGGAGGACAACGTCTACACGAGATTCTCGCGTCGCACCTGACATCTTACCTTCAGAAGGAGAGGATTCCCGACCAGTGGAGAACGTCAAGAACCGTCCTTCTTTTTAAGAAGGGTGAACGGGAAGATCTTCAAAATTACCGTCCAATATGCCTGTTGAGTGTGCTGTACAAGTTTCTACAAAGATTATTCTCGCTCGCAAATCTAGGACACTGGATGAAGTCCAACCCCAAGAACAAGCTGGATTTCGCAAAGGATTCAGCTGCATGGACCACATCCAGACGGTTTCGAGGGTCATAGAAGTCTGCCGGGAGTACCGACTGCCTCTCGTCCTAACCTTCGTCGACTACGAGAAAGCCTTTGACAGCGTCGAAACCAATGCCATCCTGTCTGCGCTAGTCGATCAAGGAGTGGAACCAACTTACGTGAGGACACTAGCCGACTGCTACAAGGACTGTACAACAACGATGCAGCTATTCCATCGCCCCCTAACCATTCCAGTTGGGAAGGGGGTTCGACAAGGCGACACTATTTCGCCGAAGCTGTTCACCGCGGCCTTGCAGTGGGTGATGAAGTCACTAGACTGGGAAGAGAGAGGCATACGAGTTGATGGGAGATTCCTATCCAACCTTCGTTTTGCGGATGACATCGTCCCTTTCTCGAGTAGTATCACTGAAGCAGAGGCGATGCTGAAGGAACTAAACGAAGTAGGGAAGAAGATCGGACTGCGAATAAATCGGAAGAAGACTCAGTTCATGAAGAACGTCCTTTGCGAAGATGCAGAAATGGAATTGGAAGGCACCCCTATCATGGAGACGTCTTCATACGTGTATCTCGGACGTTCGATGAACATGGAGAACGGCTTGAGGGAAGAACTTAACAGGAGAAGAAGAGCAGCCTGGGCCGCCTTCGGGCCTCTGAAGGAAGCCACCGACCAACTGACGGACCCGGAGCTCCGTGCCCACCTGTTCGACTCAACCGTTCTTCCAGCGCTCTGCTACGCAGCTGAGACTTGGGCCGACACC